AGAGTCATTGGGGCTAAAAGATGAGCTTCATTGAACTGTGTGTAGCGGCCGCAGGACCAGAGGCAAACAGGCAAACCTGGGTGCAGAATATTGCCAACAAAAGGCAGCTTTTTATCAGGAACAGGAAGGACAGGGATGGAGGAAAAGGGGGAGGTGCTGATGGGCTGTTTGTCTGGTGGGTCCAGGCCAGTTGCTGGTCGCTTTGGGCACATCAGCACTGGCATTCCGAAGAATCATTGCAACCTGTACTTTGTCCAAAATTTTGTGATTTCCTTTCTATAGGCTGTCAGGCTGCAGAGTCACAGAGGGAGGCTGTACTTCCCTGGCTTCAGCTCTGAGGTCAAACCCCTCACATCTGAGAGAGCTGGACCTGAGCTACAATCATCCAGGAGACTCAGGAGTGAAGCTGCTCTCTGCTGTACTGGAGGATCCCAGCTGTAAACTGGAGAAGCTGAAGTGAGTAGACAGTGTGTCTGACACGCTGCAGATACTTATGCATGTATGTAAAGAAGAAGCACCAATAAATAAATGGATACAGCAGTACTATGTCATTCTGCTTCTCCTATAGTGTGGATCACAGTGCAGAGTGCAGGACCAGACCAGGCTTACAGAAATGTAAGTTTGTTTGCATGTTTTTTATTAATAATACCATTAATACTGCTTTATGAATGTATTCATAGAGTTTTTATAATGTCTGGCTTTTTGCACTGTATGTAGATGGATTTTCATGTTTATGTTTTGGTGAGTTTCTCTGTGTGTCATTTTAGATAACATCCAAAGGTGAAAAACAAAACAGACATCACCAAAAACATTATTAATTCATCAGTTCTTTGTTTTTAAACAAACTGCTGGGTTTGGGTTCATACATGACTGTTTTCTTATGTATAAATAACATCTGGAAACAAACAAATACTTAATTACAGCTGCTTATATCATGCTTGTGTTTATGTGAGAATGTAACAGGGTGAAATACATTCTGATATGGCTGTGCATCTTTAATTCCACAAAAAACCCTTCCTGTTTCTTCTTTTTGCACATGCAAAAAAAAATGCTGTGTACTTTTTTGAGATTCCTTAGCATTGTCCTAAGACAGCACCTGTAGTCTCCCCCAGTCTGTGCTTAGTGCATGATTATTGGGTGGGGGGGGTTAGAAACCCCCCCCCATATCCTCCTGTAATTTATGCCCATAAATAAGCCTGTTAATTTAGCACGCGCAGTATTTTGGTGCGTTTTCCCGCCGGCATCCGAAATTTCCTGAGCTATTTCACATACTTGAATTCTTGCTTCGTTAGGGGACGCTGTGCTGTTTTTATATTTTATGTATCGTACAGAATAATAGAGCGCAGGCTAAAGTGCAGTTGGGTCCCCAGCGAGTCTCTCAGCGCGGCGTCTCACAGCGCAGGGGGCAGCCGGAGCGCCGCAGACTCGGGCGGCTACATGAGTATATTGGGAATAAAATGTGTGTATTGGAGCGAGTTCTGTGTTAGTGTGTGAGGTGTGACAGTGATAATGATGGAGATGCTGGGCTTCGTGATGGGATTAATCGCTCTTCCTCTTGCCTACAGACTCCTGCCAGCTGACGCTGGACCCCAACACAGCATATAGATCCCTGTCTCTGTCAGAGGGGAACAGGAAGGCAGCACAGGGGAATTGCCATCCATATCCTGATCATCCAGAGAGATTTGAATACTGGCCCCAAGTTCTGTGCAGAGAGAATCTAACTGGTCGCTGTTACTGGGAGGCTGAGTGGAGTGGAGATGGAGCCCTGATAGGAGTGACTTATAAAGGAATCAGGAGGAAAGGACGGAGTGCTGACTGTGGGCTTGGAGCCAATGACAAGTCATGGAGTCTGTTCTGCTATCCTCACAGATACTCTGTCTATCACAATAATAAACAGACTGACATACCCATAGAGCCCTCAGGCTCCTGCAGAGTAGGAGTGTATCTGGACTGGGCGGCTGGTACTCTGTCCTTCTACA